AGAGAGAGAGAGAGAGAGAGAGAGAGAGAGAGAGAGAGAGAGAGAGAGAGAGAGAGAGAGAGAGGAGTCGAACAAAGAAGGGGGGTCAACAACCAATATCCACACACACACACACACACACACACACGGAGAGAGAGAGAGAGAGAGAGAGAGAGGGAGAGAGAGTCTCAGAGAGAGAACCTGGGAATCAGTGAAGGAGGTGGGTGCGATGGTCAGAAAGTACGTAAATTATTGTTGTCTATTATGTAGCCAGTTGCATGTTATAAGATTCAGAAGGGGCGTCAGTATGAAGGGATCGGTAATCAGCCTCCGCCGATAGGAGGACAGAACGCGACTTCATCTCCGTTGTTGATCCGCGTCGGCCCCTCCACGTACGAGTGATTGAGTGCTATTTTCACGTTTTTCGATATTGATTTGAGTCCCGGGAACTTGATACACAGCAGCTTAACAAGGCGTGCAATGTCTGTACCCTCATCCAACTCCACGTTAAGTCCTTCTCTCCCCACCAACTCCTTGGCCATAGCGAAGAACAGCACTCTCACCTTCATCTTCGCCGGCATTTTTCTCCCCCCCTTTATAATTTTTTACCCTTGCAGACTCGATGAGTCGATGATGCGGACACCTCTCGTCGCCCCCCTTTCCTCAGCAGGAGGCCTCTTCCCAAAAAAAAAGCGATGGCCCGATGGGGTGATCTCCAACTCCAACGGGACTCGAACTCTGATACTCCGCCGTGGTGGGGACCACAAAGAACTCAGTCACAAAGAATCCAAACTTAGTCTATCCTTTGCTTCTCACGCAACAACAAAGAGACACAGTTATAACCGTAAGCACCGAGACGGACCTCGCAAGCGCCGAGTGGTGGGGACCACGCCTGTTCCAGCCCCGCCGAGCAAGGGATGCCCACCGTAAACCGTCAACCTTCAACCTTCAAGCTTCAAGTCTTCTACACTCTGCCCGATCGATCACTCACAAGAGTCACCAATGGCTCCCAGTCCACTTATGTGACTCTCGCGCTTGCGACGATGATATTTTGCGTTTCCATTCGAGAATGCTTTTCCTCATAAGGCTCATAGGCTCATACCTTCGCCGTGCTTAGCCATACCAGTATGTGGTCTTGCTCGATTGGGCAGACTTGCGTCGACTTTTCTTGTCGTCACGTCAGTTATGTGGTCTTGCTCGATTGGTCAGACTTGCGTTGACTTTTCTTGTCGTCACGTCAACACACACACCAGTTAGGTAGGTACCCCCCTGGAGTCCTGGGGGTCCGTAGGGGACATACTATGCCCGCCTGCTCCAGCCGAACGCAACAGCTTTGTATGAAGTACTATGACCACTTTCGTATGTTAACTCTTTCAACAACCGCGGCTGCTGCTTCTGCTTCTGCTTCTGCTTCTGCTGCTGCTGCTGCTTCTGCTTCTGCTTCTGCTGCTGCTGCTGCTGCTGCAGATCGCAAGATAGACCGAATCCTCTGCTGTCCTGACAGAAGATATAACTGCTCCTGCTGCTGCTGCGGCTGCTGCTGCTGCTGCTGTTGCTGCTGCTGCTGCAGATCTGAAGAGAGATCGAGTCCTGGTGTCCTGTCGGTCAGTGTCGGAAGATATAACTGCTGCTGCTGCTGCTGCTGATGCTGCAGATTGAAAGATCGATTGCTGCCGTCGCAAGAGAACGCACCTGTTCAATAAAAGAATAAGGCATGCGATCCGAGAGATGAAGTTTGACTGGTAAGTACTAAGTTTCGAATTACAAAAAAAAAAAAAAAAAAAAAAAAAAAAAAAAAAAAAAGTTTCGAATTTCAAGTTGTTCTGGACGGAATGCAAAAAGAAAGAAGAAGAAGAAGAAGAAGAAGAAGAAGAAGAAGAAGAAGAAGAAGAAGAAGACGAAAAAAAAAGAACTGCTAAAGAGAAGTGTCCTTCTTGATAATTTTTCTGTGATCGATGCTTTCTGGACAGCATCCGCGATTATTTTGGTAGAGTATATATGTAGTCGTTGTAACGTACAAGAGAATGTATTTTCCTGAAATGGGACAGGCTCGCCCGAACAGTGTCAGCCATCTATGCATGCAAGGCAGTGAGGTAACTCAGATAAGTAATCGAGTATCAAACCGCGAAGATGACCAGATTCAGCAGCCTGAGAGCAGTGAATAATAGTATATATCTTCAGGTAATTGTTCTCCCTTCCCTTTTGCTTAACATGAACAGGGCAAACTCACACTTGCCCTGCGCGAACCGGGGCGCAAATTCCGGCCAAATGCAGCCCACGCAACGTCAGTGCGGTGGACAAACCTGTGCGCAATTGCGATCAAATTCAGCCCAGGGGCAACTTCAGTACGGCCTATTATGACTATCACAGCGCAGCTGCCACCGAACTCACAAACGGTCTAGCACATCATGCTGCACATGCACTCCGCACTTTTCGCGGACCCCAAGAAGTTCCCACACGTTCTTTTTTTTTTTTTTTTTTTTTTTTTTTAACGCCAGATGAATATAGCACCAGCAGTCCACCAAGCTCCCACACGGCAGAATTTTTTTTTTTTTTTTTAACGGCAGATGAATATAGCACCAACAATCCAACACCTTCTTTCCCGGCGCTCAACTCCCAACTGCCGTCGTGACGACTGCCTTTCGCTACGATAGAGAGTGTATACATAATACATTCATGATGATGATACATTGCCATGTATGGGGATACAATGTAGGTAAATAGAAGGGAAAAAAGATGAAAAGCAGAACCCCGAGTGCGACGGCCTCGAGATATCATCATTCACCTGGCCGGCCGGCCGCATGTAATTCAGAATGATCTAATCCCCTCAAACGTACGATGCGAGGGCAATCAATGCCTGCGCTTCTTATACTACAACAAGTTAACAACCACATCCCTGTGCAAACAAACAATCATTCAAATCATCAGATGTATGAAGGGACGCTGGACCCGGTTTCCAGCAGGTGTTGCTCCTCCCTACCAATAAATGGAGGCACTCTTTTCTTAAAAAAAAAAAAAAAAAAAAAAAACAGATCATATTCTGGTCATCTGATTGTATCTGCCGTATTTGATACAGTTCGTGGGTGTATCAACTGAACTAGGCCCGTTGGTAAGCGGAATTTTTTATACCACATCAAGGTGGACATGCTAGGGGGAACAGAAGACTCTGCAGCGCCATGCCGGGAAAAAAAAAAAAAAAAAAAAGTTAGGAAGGATTTTGCGATATCGCGCGTTCTGAGTAATAGCACAGATGCCACAGAACACGCTCGTATCGATTTCGTGCGAAATCGATTTCTTTTTTTTTTTTTTTTTTTGAAAGTCGGCATGTTGAAGATCAATGGCATTCAGATAAAGGGGCCTCGATCCACTAATCTCCAAATGCACAAATGACAAAAATCATTGGCGGTGTGTCTTTCCAGAAAAAGAGACCAGCAACACTCCCAATCCCGAACACTTAGCAATTCATAAGCAGAAATTTAACGCATTACGTTCTCGAAGACTTGGCAATTCATAAGCAGAAAAGCATTACGTTCCACGACGACATGTCCACGTGTCGAATCGCACTCAGAAAAAGAAAAAACAAAAAAAAAACGCATTATCCATGACCGTACGGTCTCACCCGAATACAACGTACGGTCATGGAGAACGCGTTTTTTTTTTTTTTTTTTTTTTTTTTTTTTTTTTTTTTTT